CTTTTCCGCAAGCAGGGAGGTTTCTCTTTGGAAAGAATTCAGGCATGCTTCTTCTTCTTCTTTGGTGATCACTGATAGCTGAGATTGTCTTCCATGAACATGGTCTTAACTGTGAGTCTGTAAGTGACTGTGGAGGCCGATTCTGGATCCACACATCCTTCCACAGTAGAGACATAGGTTGTTGATCATGGTGAGGGTTTGCCAAGCGTGCCTTCCTCTTAGCACATTTCTCCCTTTCGTCCTGAGTTTGAGCTTCTTCAAAGTCCATGACACCTTTGGTAAAGGCTGTTCTCCAATTGGAGCGCTCGCAGGCCAGTGTTTCCCATTTTGTGTGTGCTTATACAGTGGTACCTTGCAAGACGAATGCCTCGCAAGACGAAAAACGCGCAAGACAAAAGAGTTTTTCGTTTTTTGAGTTGCTTCGCAAGACGAATTTCCCTATGGGCTTGCTTCGCAAGACGAAAAACGAAAACGTCTTGCAAATTTGTTTCCTTTTTCTTAAAACCGTTAATACCCTATGGGAAACCGTGCTTCGCAAGACGAAAAAACTCGCAGAACTAATTAATTTCGTCTTGCGAGGCACCACTGTACTGCATTTTTTAAAAAATATTTGCCTTGAGAGCATCTTTAAACCTCTTTTGTTTTCCACCAGCATTACACTTTCTATTTTTAAGTTCAGAATAGAGTAGTTGCTTTGGAAGACGATGATCAGGCATTAAGCTTTCTGTTTTTAAGTTCAGAATAGAGTAGTTGCTTTGGAAGATGATGATCAGGCATTAAGCTTTCTGTTTTTAAGTTCAGAATAGAGTAGTTGCTTTGGAAGATGATCATCAGGCATCCGCACAACATGACCAGTCCAACAAAGTTGATGTTGAAGAATCATTCCTTCAACACTGGTGATCTTTGCTTCTTCCAGTACCCTGGCAATTCAGGCATGCAATCTTCTGCATGTAGGCTGAAACGGTACAGTCAACAAAAGGCTGCATTCTTTGATATTTCTGAGTGTGTAATTTGGCTTTCGGTCTATTTGAGAAGTGCTCCCATGTCTACAGCTAGAGAAAGTGGCAAAAATATGATGGATTCCATTACGTATTGCACCCTACCTTCAGGAAGCTTAGGCTGATGTCTAGAGTCCACGACACCCTCCTGAAACAAACACACAGCAATGTGTCATCAGAGCAGATCTGATGCATCTTTGGGGAGAACATTCCAGAACCAAGGGGCTGCTATTGAAAAACCCCATCCTTTTGCTACTACCCTAGGACTCAGAAATAATTCCTAATTGACCATCTAGCACTTGGGACCTGATCTGACAGGCAGAACCGTTCACTTGCCTCCTTTTTTCTGCTGAATTGGACCAGTTTTAAGAATCCTTCCAACCAATCCCTGTATTACGTTGAAATGTTGTTATATTTTCTTCTGCATCTTGTCGTGAACCACTTTGAGCATAGTTATTACAATGGAAAAGCTGCATGTAAGTAAACTATTGATGACGACTGACAATGATGTATCACGCCCATGAATTCTGACTCACATCAAAAGGGTTATCAGGCTTTCTATGGAATCAATTGACAGACACCTCATGCACAAACAATTTAGTTCAGCTAAAGTTGGCTTCCATGCCCTGAATGCGGTTCACCCCTACAAACATAGCTTTGAAGTTTTACATTCTGCCTCGAAAGGCAGATTTGGGGTGCCTTTCAGGGTAGCAGAGCATGAGACAGGCAGATCTGATTTGTGGGGCGCAACCCATGAGGAAATTCTTTTCCACAAACCCCATGGAAAGGAACAGGAGCTATTTTTTTTACTTCAAATGTGGCTTGTACAGAGTTAGGCCTCGTGCTAGTTTAGTGGTTGGTATCCCATATGGATTTTCTGTCTGAGGCACCACGATTCACATCTTTGAAGGAAGACATAAATGTCACCCTGATCCAGCCTACAGTATTTACAACATTTGGGGCTTTTGGTTTAGAAAAATATATATGAGTAAGATAGGGTTATGATAGATGTATATAAGGTTATGGGAAAAGTGGGTAAAGATTTTTCTCTCTCCCTCTTTCATGATACTAGAACTTGGAGCCAGGGGTGCCAACTTGAATAAAATAGGGGGTGCTCAGGTAAGCCCACTTCTCACAACTGATCACATGCCAGGGTGCACCCACACCATTTGAATGGCAATGTCCAATTTGGGGGCAAATTTTATTGAGGGTGGCCAAAGGGACCTCAGCTCCTAGGAGTTGGCTCCTATGGCCTCTCCCCCAATGAAGCTGAATATTGGTCGACGCGGGACAGAAAATAAAGTACAGTGGTACCTCAGGTTAAGTACTTAATTCGTTCCGGAGGTCCATTCTTAACCTGAAACTGTTCTTAACCTGAAGCACCACTTTAGCTAATGGGGCCTCCTGCTGCCGCCGCGCCACCGGAGCACGATTTCTGTTCTCATCCTGAAGCAAAGTTCTTAACCTGAGGTACTATTTCTGGGTTAGCGGAGTCTGTAATCTGAAGTGTATGTAACCTGAAGCGTATGTAACCCGAGGTACCACTGTACTTCTTCACAGAGCGCATAGTTAAACTATGGCACTTACCCCCACAAGAGGTAGTTATGGTCACCAACATGGATGGATTAGATCTCCAAAGGACTTCATTGTCTTACACACACAAACACACACAAACACAAACACACACACACACACACATGGCAATATTAAAAAATGAATAAATTGACCCTAAAAATCAAGAACAGGGAAACTGAACATAATGTCTTCATTTAAAACAAAGGTATCTGGTTTATATAAGCATTAAAAATGGTTGAAAACAGATAGATTTTAAAAAGGAGCTTGGGATGTGTCTGGCTTGTTGTTTGGATTACACACAGGACTTTGATGAACATACCCCTGATGACTAAAATAATGAAAGTGATAGATTAGCGTCTTGATGCATAATCACTGTCTAGAATGTAGAACTTGTGAACAGCGGGGTTTTGAGAACAATTACTTGTAATTAAAGCTGTGCTGGTTACCAAAAAAAAGTCTTTTGTGTATTGCACCAATTAATTACTTTTTTTTTTCAGGGAGAGTTTAGCTCTAAACCATCTATTTATATGTGACCATGTTTGGAATTCTGAAGCGATATGCAATATGTATTGTTTAGTAATATTATTTTGTTTTGGGGAAGAAGGCAGACGTAGCTCCTTCTCCTTAAGATATCATCTTGTGAATGAATTAAAAGCAAACCACTTCTACAAATCCAGGCATATGAGCAGACATTATTGTCATTGTGATGATAAAAGACAACTTTAGGCAGGCAAACACTTTCTTATAAAGTCGGCGCATCTTTTTAACCAGACTATCTCGCTGTCCATCTCTTTTTGATTTTTCACACTCTTAGAAGACAGACTCATGAAAGTATAAAATGTTTTGAGCTCAGAAAAGAGAGAGCTGCAAAAAGGGAAATTCTCTCCCCCTCCCACATGTCAGTGAAATTGCTTTGAGAAAGGTAAAATTAATAACATTTTTCAATGCTAAAATGGGATCTTTTTTCTCCCAGCTTCTATTGTGGCTAAACTCCTGTGGACTTCAGCAGATGGTGTATCATGTGAAAAGTGACATCTCTTTACTGCATTTTGCTCATCTCTGATGGGAAAATATTGCTTTCCGTACCTTTCCTTGATAGCAGACAATGATTAAAGTTTGATATGGGTGAAAATTTGAAATTTTCTGAACACTCTCAGGGACAATTTTGGATTTGCTATAAAGAGGAAACAGAGTCAAACATATAGGTATATGTATCTGTTTGGTTTTAAACCTAATTTTCAAGGTGGCTTGAAAAACAAACAGAAAATAACTTCACTCATCACAGTCAGATATGACCCTCACAGATCTGGGGTTTTCTCCTTGAGGTCATTGTGATATCTTGGGATGCATTGTTTGAAAAATACGGGGGTGGGGGGGAGAGAAGTTTGTTCTTTTCATTGAGAATTGTAAGGTTAGACTCAGATTGAGGCAGTTTCCTACATTTGGACGGGGATCTAAATATAAGCTGATTCTAGGTCATCAACCTCATCAACCTCTTCACTTAAAGGTAAAGGTAAAGGTACCCCTGACCATTAGGTCCAGTCGTGGCTGACTCTGGGGTTGCGGCGCTCATCTCACTTTATTGGCCGAGGGAGCTGGTGTACAGCTTCCGGGTCATGTGGCCAGCATGACTAAGCTGCTTCTGGCAAAACCAGAGAAGGGACGGAAACGCCGTTTACCTTCCCGCCGGAGTGGTACCTATTTATCTACTTGCACTTTGACGTGCTTTCGAACTGCTAGGTTGGCAGGAGCAGGGACCGAGCAACGGGAGCTCACCCCATTGCGGGGATTTGAACCACCGACCTTCTGATCGGCAAGTCCTGGGCTCTGTGGTTTAACCCACAGCGCCACCCGCGTCCCTTACTTAAAAAAAAAGAACTGGCATTTTAAATGAATTTCAATTTTATAGTTTGATAACAGATTTTGTCTTTAGTGTATTGTTGGGGAGCTTGTACACCACTCTGAGAGGATCGCAATTAAGCGGCAGATGAATTGTCTAAATAAATAAATAACCATGTGCTGACCTGATGTGGTTTTTATCATGATGTAGCTTCCTCACACCCAACCTGTCAACACTGTGACTCTTAGCAAGGGGCGTGCCTCTGAAAGTCAGAATGCGATGATGCCACATCAAATGTTGAGTACATTACAAGCAGGGTAGTGATGGTGGACACCTTTCTATGCCAACGCCCGTAGAATGTGTCAGGCAGCTCTCTGCGGCTGCCATGTTTCTCATGATCTCGATTTTTCCAGCTTAGATAAAGGAGAGCTGGAAGTTGGCATGTTCCTCTCCCCTGCCCCCACCCCTCGCACACTGGACAAGGAAGGTTTACGCTGCATCGTGTGTACTCAGACCCATAAAACTCCCATAGCCATCGATCATGCCCGGGAAGAAGCTCAGCACACAGTCCTTCTTATTGCCAGACTGCATAGCTCAGTTGGTTAGAGCATGGTGCTGACACTGCCAAGGCTGCAAGTCCGGTCCCTGTATGGGACAGCTGCATATTCCTGCACTGCAGGTGGTCAGACTAGAACTAGATGTTCATCAGGGTCCCTTCCAACTCTACAATTCTATGATTCTATGACAGCAGAGCTGGCTCAAAGTCTGAGGAGGTTATAGGCAGAGTGGTGGGTCCTCGCTTCTGATGGTGGACTCTGGTGGGCTTACCTCGCAACATGGTGGCACCCTCTTGCTTTCCCATAATGCCCCTGAGTGGAAGTGGCTCAAGGAAACTGTGGACAATCTCAAGCTGCCTAAAATCCAACCACCAAGTGCTGCTTGGTGTGTCAGGCAGTGGGCAGAATTCAGGCATCAGGACAGACATCAGTAGTGAATCCTGCCAGGGCCCTGGAAACAGTGGCAGATTTGGGGCTCTCAAATTTCAGCAGCACCTTGTCGATGCTAAAATTTGGGGGCCTCGCAGCTCCCGGTGCAGCCAGACTAATCACATTACCCTTAAACCGCCTCTGCTGGGACCTTGGTAGTTGCCAGGGGCAGATAATTCTGCTGGTTTAAGTTTCTTGCAGGTTCTCACATTTCTGATCTTAAATTTCGCTCTACCCATTTCCAATTTTTTTTTTAATTAAAAATGTTCTCACAGAAATCCGTCAGCATTTTAGTAAGTCGTTTTGTCTAATATCATGTGTTTTGTGTGATATTTTCACAAATATGTGCATTTTTTTAACACACGCTTTCCCTTCATATACCTTTAAAAAATAGATTGTTGGGTTGGAGCTCTGCATCACAAAATGCAGAGAAGTGTGAACATACCAGAGTAGCTGTGTTTGATTATTGTTTCTGGAAATGTGAATTAGGCAGGTTCCTATGAAAATTGCGAATGGAATCAAATTTACCCCACCCCCACCCCCCGTGATTAACTAACCCAATGTCAGGGTCTAATACTAGCTCTAGTAGACATTATAATTTTCTATCTGCAGGGACACTTTTCACTGAGGAGCATTTAACCAATACATTCCTCCAACTGCAGCCTGGATTGGTACATTCCCAATGAAGCACCAGAAGTCCTTTTTATTGCACCTCCATGATGAATTGTGCACATGATGGTATCAGAGCAGTTATCCACAGCCCCACTTCCACTACTGTTTGTGCCTGCAGAGGTTTCGGGAAGGGCATGATGCTTCGTTTTCAGTCAGTGCATGCCCTGTAGCTTCCTGCTGAAATACTGTAACTTTTAATTCCACAAAAGTTACTGGGCAGGGTGGTTTTGTTCATTTGTCCTGCTTTCATTGTGCTATGATTGCCAGGTGGCAATAATGTGGAGGCGGGTGGAGCTATGGTCTAAACCACTGAGCCTCTTGGGCTTGCTGGTTAGAAGGTTGGCGGTTCGAATCCCTGCAACGGGGTGAGCTCCCGTTGCTCTGTCCCAGCTCCTGCCAACCTAGCAGTTCGAAAGCACCCTTAAGTGCAAGTAGATAAATAGGTACTGCTCTGGCAGGAAGGTAAATGGCGTTTCCGTGTACTCTGGCACTCGTCATAGTGTCCAGTTGCGCCAGAAGCGGCTTAGTCATGCTGGTCACATGACCCGGAAAAGCTGTCTGTGGACAAATGCCAGCTCCCTCGGCCTGAAAAGCGAGATGAGCACTGCAACCCCATAGTCGCCTTTGACTGGACTTAACCGTCCCAGGGTCCTTAATATGGTAATACTGGGGGAACACTGCAGTACCAGTAAGGTAGAATGGTTTGTGGATAGCCCAGTATAAATCCCACCACTGACACACTATTATTATATCAAGGACATATTGCAGAAAACACCTGGAGGGTTGGCTCTGAAAGATCAGAGAGCTAACCCCCTTCCCCTGTGAAGAGAATTTAATATTCCCCGTGCGGTTTCAAAAACATTGTGTTTATTCCACATTATATTCTCAGCTCAGCCTTAACTGTTCAGGTGCAGCTTGCACCTTAATAATAAATACAGTCATGTAAGAACAGCTCCGAGTGGTTGCAGATGCCGTACAAGATCACAGCAGCCCTAGGAAACAGGAGGCGGAAAAAGGAGTCTCTTGCATATTAGGGGATGAAAAGGAAATATCCCGGCTGCTTCATTTCCCCACTTCTGAACACTTCTTTTCCTGTAGTTTGTCTCTACTCTATGATGTGTTGGCAGCTCATATACAAACCGGGCTTGGTAAGGCATGAAGTTATCTACATTCCAGATTCCTTCTGTGTGTGCTTAGAACGTGTCTTTTTGATCTGACTTATGTAGGGCAGATCTTACAACACACATTTATAATCTGACACAACCAATGATAATAATTATTTTTTAAGCATTTCATTTGACCTTTGCCCCATACAGATCTTCAAAAAAATGGTCGAGAATTTAAGCTAGATGCCAATGCCAAACTTTATCCCACCAACTAGGGAGGGGATGGAGCCTGCAGCCCTCCAGATCTTGGTGGATTACAACTCCCAGCACCCCTGACAATTGGCTATGCTGGCAGGGGTTGATGGGATTTGGAGTCCAGCAACATTTGGAGGACCACAGCTTAGCCACCTCCTACCAGAAGAGTTCACTGGTTTGCCCAATGAACGCAAGTTACCCCTGTGCTTTTTTGTGTGGCAGGGTTCAAAATTTAAACTTCCCAGTGGTTTCAGGTTCTCAAAAACTGTCACCCACACAAGCACCAGTGAATCAAGGGTGCGGGTTTTTTCATATATTGAGTAATATTTTTATTTAATTTCCCACCAACAGATAGGTACATGTGCATCTCTGTAACCAGAAAAGAAAGAACAAAAAAAATAGAAAAAGAAAAGAAAAAGAAGAAACAATGACCACCCTGCCGGGGAAACAATATGCTGTTGCCATAAAGTATCCCCCCCACCCACAGTTCTGTTCTTTGTAGATTTTAGCAGGAGGTCCAGCATCTAAAATTTCACCATCAGTCATCAGTGGTAGTTGGCAGGCAGCAAACATTTGAAACGCTGGCATATCTCACTCAAACAGTCTGGATATTGTTAGCAGTGTTTATATAAAAAATAAAACTTTGCCAAACTTTTAAACTTCTTTTGTCTTTCTTATTAGATAAAATGAGTTTTTATTCCAATGGCATCTTCTCCCCCGGGGCTAAATAACAGCTTCTGTCAAGCAATTTTAGTTGGAACAACAAGCACCAGCCCCCTTCCCTGCATGCCCCAATCCACCAACATCTGGAGGGTCACAGGTTATTCACCCTTGTCTTAGAGGTGGAAAAGGAAATTGGCTTACACAGGATCAGGTGGGACTTGGGGACTTCCTCTGGGGATGGTGAGCAGGGCTTTTTGTGTGTGGTGGTACTCACTGGTAAGGAGTCCTGGCACCTCTCTCCCCCCCCCACCTCCCACCCATATCAGCTGTTTTGTGACTATGCAAAACCCACCAAGTGTGGGGTCAAAGAGGGACAGCCGACACTTTAGGTAGGAACCTCAAATGGGCGTGACTCTCTCCAGAGGAAACTCCATCTGCCTTGTGCCAGATACATGAAGTTTCCTGTGGGGTTTCCTGGAAATCTGGCAATTAGCACGCAGGCAGTGTACATGGGGTTCAGCTCTTCTGATAGGCAAGTCAGCAGACACATATTTTGGGGGCACACGGGAAGAAAGATGGAGTGGAAGTTCCGTTGTTGAAGCGGAAGTCCTTGCATGACTTGGCTGGGCACAACCCTGCGATTGGAGAATGCTCGTAAAAAAAAATTCCCTCTGTGTGGAAGTTAGAATTGTCAAACACAGTTCTCCATTTCCCTCAAATAGCAAAGAGAATGTTACAGATCTTGCAGGCGCACTGTCTGTAGTTCCATTTGCCTCCAAATTGTGCCCAAAACTTCAGGAGGACCCGGATTCACAACTCAAATGGAGCTTGATTTTCCTCCAACGTGTCTTGAATCTCTCTTTCTCGGGATTTGTCTGACGTCACGATCGTTTTGCAAAAGTGAGGCTTCAATATAGCAATAAGTTTCCGAAGATTAAATGCATCTCCCAAGAGCTGAGGTCACTGTCTGCCTCAGCAAGCAAAGACATGTTAACTTGCTTCCATTTTTCACCCCAGGGATTCTCCCTGCCTGCCTTCCCCAAAATCCCTTGCTTCCTAGGCAGGAAGGAATCAGACAGAAATACAGGCCATACCAACTGGCAAGGCAGTGAGATGCCAGCAGGCTTTTTGGCATTGGTTACGCTCAAGCAAGCGCACAGGTTGATATGATTAAGGTGGATGAAAGAAAGACAATCACCAGACTTTTCCTATTATTACATTATGCAAGATATTTGCTGGTTTATTTGTTCTTTTTATGCTGAAAGCCTAACAAAAAAGTGTGGGAGCCAATGCAAATCTTATTACAGCACCACAGACTTACTTTCAATGGTGTAATAATTTGCACTTCTGTTCTGAAGTAAGTCCCACCATGTTCAGTGGAGTCTATTCCCTAGGAAGTATGTTTAATATTGAGGCTGCAATAGTATGATTATTGCATCTACAGTGGTAACTCGGGTTAAGAACTTAATTCGTTCTGGAGGTCTGTTCTTAACCTGAAACTGATCTTAACCTGAAGCACCACTTTAGGTAATGGGGCCTCCTGCTGCCACTGTGCCACTGCAGCACGATTTCTGTTCTCATCCTGAAGCAAAGTTCTTAACCCGAGGTACTATTTCTGGGTTAGCGGAGTCTGTAACCTGAAGCATCTGTAACCCGAGGTACCACTGTAGTTCCAATCATATTAATGCTCATATTAATGGCCATTTTTAACAAAGGGCAGGTGTATAGAAGAAGAAGAAGAAGAAGAAGAAGAAGAAGAAGAAGAAGAAGAAGAAGAAGAAGAAGAAGAAGATAAAAAGGTAAAGGGACCCCTGACAGTTAAGTCCAGTTGTGGCTGACTCTGGGGTTGCGGCGCTCATCTCGCTTTACTGGCCGAGGGAGCCAGCGTACAGCTTCCGGGTCATGTGGCCAGCATGACCAAGCCGCTTCTGGCGAACCAGAGCAGCGCACGGAAACGCCATTTACCTTCCCACCAGAGCGG